GGAATATAAAGAAGCCCAGCCGATGGAAACGTACGCTAAAACCCCCCAAACCTAAACGCAACAAACGCCAAACAAACACTGGCGTACATGCATAAAATAGTCCAAATATCTACTACGTATACTTCTAAGCCTGACATCGAGAAGATAGACGTGTAGTGCGTGCGTTAGCGCTATATCCGAGTGAACGTGCGTTCGCGCAGTCGCGACACAAAATTATACAACCAACCACCAGGCGTTTGTATTTAAGATACAAAAAGATCAAAGGAACCACGCCCGAAAGCGCAAAGACCACATAACCCAAAAAAGATATGTAGACAATAAATTACTATTCGAAAAACTATAAATTAAACACATGTTGCTCAAACAATGCCTAGCGATCAGACCCCCAACTATATAAATATAAGAACAAATATATATAATATATAAAGATATAAATATAACAAACTAACATATACTATATTACATATATATAATTACTAATATAAATAATATATAATATGTAAATAAGTATGTATGTTATATGATAATAATATTAAAATATACATAATATAATACCATAATATAGAATATAAGATTATATATAAATAATAAATATATATATATAGATACCAGAATACTAAAATAATATAAAAAATAATATATATTNAAAAAATAAAACCCTCAACAAAATTAAAAATAAAAAACAAAAAAAAAAAGAAAAAAATATAAAACATAAAAATTATATAACACTACTTTATTATTCTTTTTTTTTTATTTTTTTTTTATTTTATTTTTTTTTATCAGTTTTTGTTTGGAAGGAGAGGAGAGCGAGAGGAAGTGCGGCTGGATAGTTTGCGGCGAAAGGTGAACGAATGTGAGGAGAATCCGGATTTATTGGCTGAGAGAGGCCCCGTGTGAGTGGGTATCCGAGCGAAGGCGGTGTTAAGTGGGAACCCGGGTATGCTGGTAACTCAATACTACAGAGACAACAGATGTGAAAGCTAAGGTCCCGTTAGGGTCTTCTCCGTCCCGGGTTCCCCCACACTGCCTCCCGCGCGAAGTTCTAGGCCAGCTACAGTTCTCTCTCTCTTTCTTCTTTCTTTTCTTTTGCTTTCTTTCTTTCTTTCTTTCCTTTCTTTCTTTCTCATTCTTTTCTCTCTCTTTCTTTCTCATTCTTTTCTCTCTCTTTCTTTCTCTTTCTTTTCTCTCTCTTTCCTCTCTCTCTTTCTCTCTCTCTCTCTCTCTCTTTTTCTCTCTCTCTCTCTCCTCTTCTCTCTCTCTCTCTCTCTCTCTCTCTCTCTCTCTCTTTTCTTTCTGTTCTTTCTTTTTCTTTCTTTCTTTCTTTCTTCCTTTCTCTCTTTTCTCTCTTTCTCTCTTTCTTCTCTTTTCTCTTTCTCTTCTTTCTCTCTTTTCTTCTCTTTCTCTCTCTCTCTCTCTCTCTCTCTCTCTCTTCTCTCTCTCTCTCTCTCTCTCTCTCTCTCTCTCTCTCTCTCTCTCTCTCTCTCTCTCTCTGCTCTTCTTCTCTCTCTCTTTCTTCTCTCTCTCTCGTTTCCTTCTCTCCTCTCTTCTTTCTCTCTCCTCTTCTTCTCTCTCTCTCTTCTTTCTCTCTCTCTTCTTCCTCTCTCTCTCTTCTTCTCTCTCTTCTCGTTCTTCTCTCCTCTCTCTTTTTCTCTCTCCTCTCTCTCTCTCTCTTCTCTCATCTCTCTCTCTTCTCTCTCTTCTTCTCTCTCCTCTCCTTCTTCTCTCTCTCCTCTCTCTTTCTCTCTCTCTCTCTTTCTCTCTCTTTCTCTTCTCTTCTCTAATCTCTCCCTCTTCTCTCTCTCTCTCTCTTCTCTCTCTCTCTCTCTCTCTCTCTCTCTCTCTCTCTCTCTCTCTCTTCTCTCTCTCTCTCTCTCTCTCTCTTCTCTCTCCTCTCTCTCTCTCCTCTCTCTCTTCTCTCTCCCTCTCTCCTCTCTCTCCTCTCTCTCTCTCTCTCTCTCTTCTCTCCTCTCTCTCTCTCTCTCTCTCTCTCTCTCTCTCTCTCTCTCTCTTCTTCTCTCTCTTCTCTTCTCTCTCCTCTCCTCTCTCTCTCTCTCTCTCTCTCTCTCTCTCTCCTCTCTCTCTCTCTCTCTCTCTCTCTCTCTCTCTCTCTCCTCTCTCTCTCTCTCTCTCTCTCTCTCTCTCTCTCCCTCTCCCTCTCCCTCTCTCTCTCTCAGCTGACCTGACTTCGGCGAGGCTGTCCATGGCTCCCAGGGCAGAGAAGACTCACGTGACCTTCAGTGGAAAGGGCAGAGGAGGGTGTGCCAGATCAGAGAAGGCGTGGTCTGAAAATTAGATAGGCCTACGTAGCAATGATATGTCCTTGTATGTCTGTTAGGCCGTCCCCAGAAAGCAAGGAATTATCCGAAGTAGAATAGGCCTACGTAGCAATGAAATGTCCTTGTAATTGTCCGTCCCAGGAAAGCAAGGAATTATCCGAAGTAGATAGGCCTACGTAGCAATGATATGTCCTTGTATTGTCTGTTTAGGTCGTCCCAGAAAGCAAGGAATTATCCGAAGTAGATAGGCCTACGTAGCAATGATATGTCCTTGCATTGTCTGTTTAGGTCGTCCCAGAAAGCAAGGAATTATCCGATAGGCCTACGTAGCAATGATATGTCCTTGCATTGTCTGTTTAGGTCGTCCCAGAAAGCAAGGAATTATCCGGAGTAGATAGGCCTACGTAGCAATGATATGTCCTTGTATTGTCTGTTTAGGTCGTCCCAGAAAGCAAGGAATTATCCGAAGTAGATAGCCTACGTAGCAATATATGTCCTTGTGGTCTGTTAGTTCGTCCCAGAAAGCAAGGAATTATCCGGAAGTAATAGGCCTACGTAGCAATGATATGTCCTTGTATTGTCTGTTTAGCTCCCAGAAAGCAAGGAATATCCGGAGTAGATAGGCCTACGTAGCAATGATATGTCCTTGTATTGTCTGTTTAGGTCGTCCCAGAAAGCAAGGAATTATCCGAAGTAGATAGGCCTATGTAGCAATGATATGTCCTTGTATTGTCGGTTTAGGTCGTCCCAGAAAGCAAGGAATTATCGGAAACCTGAATAACTCGAGGGAGAAAAAGGAAAATATATTAAAAGGATTTATGACGAGTCTCGCATGTAGGCCTCCTCTTTTCTCTCCATCTTCCCTTTTTTCTCTCCTCCTTCGTCTTCCTCTCCCTCCCCCTCCTCCTCTTCTCCTCTCCTGCCTCCTCTTCTCCTCTCCTGCCTCCTCTTCTCCCCAGTTCTTCCTCTCCTCCCTCCTCTCCTTGCTCTTCTTCCCCTGCCCTTATCCCCTTCCCCCTCCTTTTTCTTCACTCCTTCCTCCTCTCCCCTCTTTCCACCGCTCCCTTCTCCTCCTCTCCTCCCTTGCTCTTCCCCTCCTCTCCCTCTTTCCACCGCTCCCTTTCCCCTCCTCTCCTCCCTGCTCTTCCGTTCCTGCTCCCCTCCCTGCCCTCCCCTCCCTCTCCTCCCTCTCCTCCTCTCCTCCCTCCCCTTCCTCCTTCTCTCCCCACTTTCCACCGCTCCTTCCCCTCCTCTACCCCTTCCGCTCCTCCCTGCTCTTCCGCTCCTCCCCTCCCCCTCCCCCCCTCCTCCCTCCCTTCCCCTCCTCTCCCTTCCCCTCCCCTCCCCTCCCTTCCCCTCCTCTCCTCTTCCCTCTCTCCTCTTCCTCCTCCCCTCCCCTCCCCTTCCCTTCCCCCTTTCTTCCTCTTTCCCTCCCCCCCCTCCCCTCCCCTCCCCTCCTCCCCTCCTCCCCTCCCTTCTCCTCCCCCTTCCCCTCCTCCCTTCCCTCCCCTCCCCTCCCCCCCTCCCTTCCCTTCCCCCTCCCCTCCCCTCCTCCCCACCCTTCCCCTCCCCCTCCCCTCCCCTTCCCTCCCGCCTTCAAGTGTAAGCGCCCAATTTGCATGCTGCAGTTTCCGCAGGTCGGTTTAGACTTGAGTCAGCGCATGCAATCCGCTTTTTGGGGAAGAGGCCGACTCACTCCCGCCCCAAAGTTGCAAGGTTGGGGGGAGGAGGGGGTGGGGGTGGGGGGCTCTGGCGCGATGTTGGCTCGTGTTCTGTCCGTTTTGTGAATTGACTTTGAACTCGGAGGGGTTTCGGGGAAGAGAGAGAGAGAGAAGGGCATGGGCGGGTGTGGGGGTGGGGGGTGTGGGGAGGGGTGGGGGTCTTGTGAGACTCGGTAGGTTGGTACTCCGAGTATTAGGACAAGCTGGTACCGCTACTACTACTACAACCCTCCTCTTTGTTTGTTTGTTTTTTTATTTCTTCTCGCGCTCGCACTCTTTCTCTTGTACTCCCTCCTCATCTTCCTTCCTTCCTTCCTTCTTTCCGCCTCTTCCCTCCCTCCTTCCTTCCTTTTTCCCTCTCCCTTCCTCCATACCATCTCCCTCCCTCCTTCCATCCCCTCTCTCTCCCTACCTTCCTTTTCTTCCTTTCTCCCCCCGTCACTCCCTCTTCCTCCTCTCTTTTCTTCCTTCTTTCTACTAGTCTGCCCTTCCTCGCCTGCCTTTTCTCCATCCTCTGCTTTCTCCGCTTCCTCTCTTCGCTGTCAGAGTATTTTTCGGTCATCGTCCTCGTCCTCGTCCTCGTCCTCGTCGTGCTTGCGTGCTTGGAGGCAACAAGGGATGAATGGATATGCTAGACGCCGAATGAGGGAAGCGAGCGAGGGACAATGATGGAAGGGGAGGTGATGGATAGCATGAGGGGGGTCTTGTGCTGCTAAACAGATGTCTTTGGGCACTCTCCCCCCCCACCCCCACCCCCGCACGCACGCCCAGTTACTCCTCTGCCCTTTCCTTTTTTTCTTCTTTTCCCTCTCTCTCTTCTCTCTCTCTCTCTCTCTCTCCCCTGTGCTTCTTTGTCTCCTTCCTCTCCCTCTTTCCCCTTTCCTTCTCTTCCCCTTTCCTTCCTCCCCCTTCCTTCTCTCCCCCTTCTCTCCTCCCCTCCCCTCCCTTCCTCTATTCCCCTCTCCTTCCCCTCCCCTCCCCTTCCTCTATCCCCTCCTCCCTC